GATTCTTGTATCTATATGCTTATATTTTTCACCAATTAGAAAATTTTTGGCCAACATGTCTTCAGATATTTTTGTGATATGTTCTATTCTCTTGTTTTGAGATTAGAAGTACACATATATTATACTTCTGGCATAGTCAAACAGGTCATTGAGACTGTTAATTTTTTGTTCATTTTGTCATTGTTTTTTGGATTTAACAATTTGCATTCATCCATCTTCAAATTTATTGACTCTTTCTTCTACCTATTCCAGTCTATTGTTAAGCTTTTTATTTCAAATATTTTAACTTCTAGCTTTAGATTTCTTGACTAAGAGTCTACATCTGTTTACTCACCATAAGCATATTTTTCTCTAAGTTTACAAACCCATCCATCCATATAAACTAGGTGCTTTAAAGTCTCTGACTACTAAATTGAATCATCTTAGGATTGATTTATACAGACTGATTTTCTCTTGACTATGGGTTACAATTTCCTGTTTGTTCTAATGTCGACAACTTTGTAATTGTATACCGGACCTTGTGAAGAATAAACTCCAGTGATTCTGGATTCATTAACCTTGGCATATTTGCTGTTTCTCAGTAGGCTCAATGTCAGGCAAACTCACCAGAATATAGTGCTTGGACTTGTCAAACTCATTCACCTTGACCTTCTATCAACACATGAAAGGATGAAATTCACCATCTGAGTTTAGCCATTCTTTCCCTCTGGGGTTTCACAGTACCTGGTGTGTAGGACTAATCACACTGCATTAATATGAGTTGCAAGTAGATTGTTAGCTACTCAAAGCAGGACTCAGGTTTAATTTACTTCTGCATCCCTAGTGCCTAGCCCAGTACCTGACACTCACAATGGGTATACATGTTAGTTAGTTTGTTTGTTAAAGTAACAAACTAAAAATTAAAAGAGTCAGAAACTGTATGATACTAATGCAAATTTTATAAAATAATATGTGGATCTTTTAATTCAGAAGAAAAAACGCTAATATAAGCTCTATTCCACCGAAGATATCAGTGAGCTACAACACAAGATATAGCTAAGTGCCCATGTAAACGTGTCAAGAAATATATTTGTGGTCATAAATATACTTTGTTTACAAAGGCAAGAAAGGACATTTCAGAGTCTATCAATACTGATTGAAATGATGCTTTGGCATCTAAAAACCAAAATTAATTAATCAGAAGACTTTATTTCCTGATCAGAATTCATAAAGTGTGTGTGTGTGTGTGTGTGTGTGTGTGTCTGTGTGCACATTTAGACATAGGGATGAGAGAATAAAAAGCATGGCATTTAGGATTAACCAATTTATAATTGAAGCTCACTTCAGTTTTAGTCCTATATCCAGTGATGTACATAACCTTAGGAAAGTTATTTAAACTATACACTCACAGTGGACTTATTGGAAAAATGGGAGACTAATACCTTACAGGAGTGCTATGAGAATCAAATGAGGTCATGGACATGAAAGACCTTTGTGAACTGTGAAGAGCTATATGTTAACAAATACTGGGTATGTGTATTAAATGAAATCATGCAAATAAGGCACTTTTTATTACAACCATCATAACATCTAAAACTTTTTTTATGTTAGCACACAACACCCATAAAAACATCCAGGTGCATGTATGTATACACATGTTCCTACACACACACACTGATACCTGGTATACATATCTCAACAGCAACAGCAAAACTGACTTTCATTCTTTCACCCTTTAAATATGTCTTTTTAAAAGTTAAGCTCAGTGTACTTAACCATATACTACCTGTTTGTCTTTGCCTTACTTTTATCTTTCCTGCCCACTTTCCTCCTCTCTCTTCTTCCAGAAGCACTTGCATCCATTAACAAAATGTTTTATTCTACTAATTGTTGAGAGGACTGCAGCTATTTGCTCCTATAATTCAGCATGAATTATAATCACAGAACGTGAAAGGATGTAGAAAGCTTCAAAATTAAGACTGTAAAAAATCATATTTCAGAAGTTTTAGGATCTATAATAGTCTTTTCATAATTTTTTCTAAAAGATAAATTTTGAAATATCTTAAAACTCTTGATTTCGTATGTCAAGCTACCAAGCAATCATTTTTAAGTTTGTCAGAGTTATTGTCCCAGTTATGGCTAAAACATATTAACCCGGTGTTAATCCAGTTTCTTTTAGAGTCTAGTTTTAAGTCACTAATTAATGTAATTATAAAATAAATAGTCAACTGAGTTTATGTAGCAAGTAAGAATTGCTTCTAGGGAATCCTGCAATGGAAGAAAATAATTTCAAATATGCTCCTAGGATTGTCACCCCTACTCTGTTATTTTCTGTTAGTTGACCTTAGGTGAGGGACATCTGTAAGGTAGGCAGAGGGAATATAAGATGTATCTGTCAAAAATTATACCTGGAAATCTTTCAACAAAACTTCATAGTTAACAGGTGTTCACACATTCAGTCATCCAAAGGTATAATAACCGTGTGGTTTTAACCAGGCTAACATTCAGCAAGGCCGTGGGCAGATGGAAGTGAATAGAACACCTGCCCACCTAACACTACGGGCGTTTTCAGCACTGTGTGTCTCTGCTCAGGCTCTTCGCTTTCCTTTACCACCCTCTCAGACATCAATTGACCCAATGCCACAGAAAGTTAATTAAATATCATCTCTCTTTGAATGCTTTTCTGACCTTCTAAATAGATTTGACCGGTTCCTTTTTTTTGAATATCACTCCTGACCCCAACCTGCAATCTTGTACATGTGCTTATAGTAAGGTTTTGTAATTCTTGGTATTTTGTCTGCCTTCCCAATTGGGCTATGAATAATGTGAAACAGAGTCCCTGCATTACTCATTACTGCAACCTCAGAGATAGATAATTGTTTCACATAGTACTTGAAAAACATACATCGATTGAATAAATGATACTGTAGGCAGTTCTCTGATGAAAGAAGGAGCTAAACAAAAAAAGTACCAAAAGAATGGAGGTATTTGCAATGTATAAGAGAAGAAAGATAACAGAGCGTGGACAAAGGGACATATTGGGGAACAATCATGATGATGATGATAACAGAAACAATGGTAATAGTGAAAATAGTCTCCGCATCAGCCAGCAACATAAGTATTAAGAATAGATTGTGGAAAGCAGCATGAAAATGACTCACTGCTCCTGACTCATCATACTGGAAGGATCTGTGACCATACAGACCTACTCGCTTTTATATTATTGCACTTTTCTTGTAGAAGTTGCTTCTACAAGTGGATTGAAAGATGTGCAAAGTGTGTAAAACAACTAACATTAGAAGGGTATCCACTCATCCGTGAGGTGTTGGAAGGAGGGACAGGAATGGTATGGTACACACTTAGGGAATGTCAGGGGAGATATGGGAGAAGGCAGGGGAATTCTCAGTAAAAAACAGATCAGATTTGCCCTCTGACATCCATCCACCACCGACTATCCTTCAACCTCCCAGGTGAGAACCACCCACCGTCCAGATTCTCCAACTGAGTGAAAAAGTGATAGTGCCCATATAGGCAAAAAAAGACAAAGTCAAAGAACGCTGCTCTACGAGAGTCTAAAGAAATTGTAGAAGTAACAGTCTATAAAGGAGGGAAGTTGGATCTGGTTTCATATTTCTGCTTGGATTTGAGGGAAGAAATACTTACACCAGAGTGAATTCTTCAAGAATATGATGACAAAAAAGCACGTTCATGCTTATGTTCAAAATTTAGTGAATAATTTCAAAAAACTTGTATAAAAAACCTCCCTGACATCCAATGGGCCTCACACTGAAACATGGTTTAGAAGGATAAGAGGTGCTGGTCATTGGGGAGACACCACTACCCACTATGATATCACCCAAGGGCAACAGCTTCCCCCAAGAGAACCCTGCAGGGGACCCTCACTTCCACTCGTGAGCTCCTCACACAGGGGTCTGTAGAACAGAGAGAAAAGTATAGGTCATCTAGAAAATGCTCAGCCCTATTTCTGTGGTTTGGAATAGAGAAATAGAACTGGAAAGTGAGGGTTAGGAACTGACTTGGGGGATGCCATGAGTGTGTGAAAACAAATGTGAGAAAGTATCTTCCAGCTGTCTCAGAGTAGAAAGAAACTCTGATGGGAAGATCCAGAAATAAAATATTCCCAAAACTTTCTCCATCAGGGATGTCAAACAGCTTGGCATGGTTATGCTTATTCTGATACAAAGAAGTAACTGAAGAAGTATGATGTTCGCACTGTTTACTGAGGGATTGGAAGTAAATGGCATTTACCTCGGTCCCTGGCCTTAGGATAACTTAGCCCAACAATCTCATTGCCATTGCAGCTACTGCATAGAAATCAAAAGTTAAAATTTCCATAGGTTGAAAAGAGAAGCGTCCATATAACAAAAACAACAACAAGCACATCCGGATAAAAATGTAGTTACAGAGAAAAATCACTAGTACATCTTCTCCCTGCTTAGCCTCCAGGGAACAGCAGAGATTTTTGCCTTGATTGCAAGAAGGAAGGAATACACAGAGAAATGAATTCTATTTAAGGAGCTAATTTGGCCTAGTAATAAAAGAAGAAGCCCTTTTTTGCAAAGCTATTCATTTTTCTCTCAGCAAGTATTAAGGAAACCTCTCTAAAATGACTATTGCAGGGCACATGATTTAGCTCCTGAGAATAAAAGCTTTCCCTTTCGTGCAAGAAGAGAGAAGTGAAAACTGCTGCTCATTTTCCTCATGCCCCTGCCACCGAAGTTCCCTCTGCCTCGTCTTCATATCTCCTCGCAGACTTGCTCAAGAATTTGTCCGTTACAGAGTTCAGATAAAATGGGCCCCACAAAAGATTCAAAACCAAAATCTTTAAGCACAGAAACAAGTATGTCTTAATCCTACTTGGAATGAATGATTCTGGTATCTGATTAGAAAATTCACCACAGCAGAAACCCTGCTTCCTGCCATCCTTAGAATGAAAAGGGGAAAGCATTTCTAACGCCTGACAGATTCTCAACAAACGTCGTATTTGGTGAATATGCGTATTGTGCCGTGTTCATGAACAGACACGTAGTACACTGGGTTAAAGGTCTTCTGACAAAACGATTCAATCTGTTAAGAAACATTTCTGCCCACAGCTCTGCTCAGGGCATCCTTGACCTCCTTGTTCCTCAGACTGTACACAACAGGGTTCAGCAGGGGAGTGACGATGGTGTAGGTCACAGAGAGAAGGAGGTCTTTTTCTATTGAACTTTCTGACTTGGGCTTGAGGTAGGCAATGGAGGCACAGCCATAGTGGACAGTGACCACAGTGAGGTGGGAAGTGCAGGTGGCAAAGGTCTTCTTCCGGCCCTCAGCTGAGGCAATTTTAAAGATGGAGGAGATAATGAGGACATAGGAGATGATTATCAGACCTATGGGCACAAAAATCACAAACGAACTTACACCATAATTGATTATCTCATTGATGGTGGTATCAATGCAAGAAAGTTTCATGACTGGGTAAATGTCACAGAAGAAGTGGTCCACCACTGTGCCACAGAAAGGCAAATTGAACATGGCTGTCACATGGAGAACGGCCATAGCCAGACCAGTGCCAAAGGACCCGCATACCAACCTGGCACACATTCCTTTGCTCATGATGACCGTGTATCTCAGGGGGTTGCAGATGGCCACATAGCGGTCATAACCCATTGCTGTGAGCAGGAAGCAATTATTAGTGGCCAACGTGACAAAAAAGAACATTTGAGTTGCACAGCCTGCCAAAGAGATGGGCTGGTTATGAAAAAGGAGATTGGAAAGCATCCGTGGGACAATGACCAGGGTGTACACCGTCTCTGAACTAGCCAGCATGCTCAGGAAGAAATACATGGGTGTGTGGAGGTGATGGTCAATGCGGATGATGGTCACAATGATGACGTTACCAGCCAGAGTGAAAAGGTAGACAGTTAGAAAAACCACAAAGAGGGTTATCTGGTGTTTTCCGAAGCTAGAGAATCCCAAGAAGATGAATTCTTTCACTTCTGTGAAGTTCTGTCTCTGCATTCTGTTATCAGTGTCTGAAAGCAACAATGAAAGTCCCATCAGCAATTGGACTTTAAAGCAAAGGACGGTGATAGATGAAGGGAGGAAGGGAGCCTCATTCCCTTCTTTTTAACCAGCATGCTGGTGGGTAGGGTCCCTGCACATGAAGAGGCAAACCTCCCTGTGCTCCTCTGAGCCACATAGACAGGAACATCGGCACTGCAGGGCAAGCTGTTTCCTGTGCACAAAGACTCCTAGCACACCTCACAGACATTATCGAGATGCTAAGAAAGGGGAACAGGGCACCCAGGAGAAAGTCACGCCCAGAGATTCTACCAATATTGACCTCCACCACTTAGACCCTTGTAACAGGGAAGAATGCCAGTAAAGTAAGTGTCAAGAAAACAAACAACAAAAAAAAAAAATGAGTGTCTTTGGGAAAAAATGATACAACAGTAAGTATTCAAGGGAGGCGAATTTTGAGGCAGGGTCACTGAGGACCTTTTAGGTAATGTTTTGGCTGAATTCTGAATGTAGAAACTTGATTTCAGAGAAGTAATATGGTATAAACATGTCTTCGTATCCTGAACAACTACAAAACATTTCATTCCACTGAAAATGATCATTGAAGTCCCACCAAAAGATATTATTTGGTAATTCCAGTCATCCTTTTGTGTGAAGTTGGGAAACAAGAGTTATGTTGGAGAAAATACATGTAGTTCCCACCATAGTGGTAAATGATTAGCACAACTTGAGGTGAGGTGAGGGACCTGAGCTCCAGAATTGAGAGAAGAGGAGGAAAGTATCTTCTAGCTGTTTGGAACCCCTGAGGTTTATCTGTTTTATAAAATCTGGTGAATAAACAGTTTGATATAATTTGGGGAAGCAGAGACATTAGCTCCTTTTGTCAAAAACCAAGTATGTATAGCTGGTATAAAGAACATACATCTGATCCTGCGGTTCTCTAAAGTGCCGATCTCATTGTTTTCTCTTCCTTTACAGAATTGCCGTAAGAGACTTTCTCCTCCACACCCCTTAATTCCCCACAAGAAGACGTAGCCATGCTCTTGCCCATGAAATTGTTTGTCAAATGTCACTGAAGAAGCCTCCGTTGCTAACGCTATCAGACTTTGCTTTTTCCTTTTCTTTTTCTCTGCTGTGTTTGACACTTCTAACCCCTGCCTCATGGAAACAGTCTCCAACCTTGGTTTCCATGACACCACACTGTTTTTCTCTCTTCCCATCACTTATTTAGTCACCTTGCATGAATCTGATTATTCTACCTACACTATAATTACATGTGCTATACTCTGGTCAAGGCTTAGCCCTTGTTTTTTTCTCTCCATACTCTCCCTCTCAATTTTTTCTGTTATTATTTCTGTTGATTGCTTTCAAGTCTCTATTTCCATCACCAATCTTTTTCCCACATCTCCAGCTTACCTCCCTCTTTGCTTTTTTATTTGTGTGTTTTGCAATCATAATATATTTTACATTTTTGAAAACAAACTAAACATCAACCCTTCTAATACCTAGAAAAAGCTAAACTTTTCTGTCTTCCTCCAAGACCTCACCATCATTCCAGCCAGTCAGGGTCAGCATTTTGGAGCCACATCTACTTTGACATTGTATTCAGTGAGCCTTTTCCTTTAAGTGTAGCTCCCATCTGTCTGATTTCTGGATTCACAATGACCCATTGAAGATTAAGGTACCAAATCCTCTAGCCAAGGTAATAAATCACTCCCATTCTAAAATGTATATGGGTATGCAGAGGACCAAGAATGCTAAGACAATTTGGAAAACATATACAAAGTTAAAAGACTTATACTATTTCATTTGAAGATTATGGTAATAAAGATAACATGGTATTGGTGTAAGGATAGACAAGGGAACAAAATGGATAGTCTAAACCACTAGATCCATATATAAGTATATGTATGTGTGAGTGTGTGTGTATGCATATTCAAATTATTTTTGGTAGTATTAAGGTATCTCATGATAATATTTTCAAAAAGTGTTGCTAGAAAAATTGAATAGCCTTACAAGAAAAAGCAAGCTCATACCTTACCTTATGCCATACATAAAAAATAAGTCAAAATTAATTATAGACATATACAAAAGTAAGGGACAAATTCATACCCTTGAAAGGAGCAAAGAGTTCTTAGATAGGGAACAAAAACCCTAAACGATAAAAGAATAAAATCACAAATTGACCTTTATCAGAATTCAAATTTCTATTCTCCAGAAGGCATTAAAATTAAAAGACAAGTTAACAGAATATTCACAGTACATATATCTAAAATTATAACCAGAATATGTAAAGAATTCTTACAATTTGATAGTAAGACACATTTTTAATTGGCAAAATATTTGAACAGATATTTCACTAAGAAAAATAGAGTAATGGCCAACAAGTACTGTACCCCATAAATGTGCACAGTTAAGATTTAATTTAAAAAAAAAAACAGTCTGGTGCAAAAAAAAAAAAAGAAAAGGATACTCAATGTCATTAGTCATCAAAGAAATGTACAATAAAAACTACGAGACATCACTAAAACTGGAACTCTTAAATGTTGGTGGTCGGATTATAAAATGATATAACCAATTTGAAGAACAATTCATCAGGTTTTTTTCTGAAACTTAAATATGTACTTTCTCTAGGACTCAACAATTTTTTGCTAAGTGTTTACACAAGAAAAATGAAAACATGTGTCCACATAAAGACATGTATATGTGAAAATCCTTAGCAGCCTTCTTCCTAAAAGCTGAAAATTGCAAATGATTCCAGTGTCCAAATTATAATGTGTACAGGTAACGAAATATTGCTCAGCTAGTAAAAGGCACAAATTATCAATACAAATAGCAACAGGGTTGACTCTTTAAAACATTGAGCCGAATCAAAGAAGTCAGACACAGGAAGTGAATACAGTATGATTCCATTTATATGAAACTCTATAAAATACAAATCTAATCTATGCTGGTAGAAACCAGATCAGCAGTTCCCAGAATTGCTAGGGAATTGACTGGAAAAGAACACAAAGGAACTTACTGGGGTAAAGGAAATTTTTTGATTGTGGTGATAATAGGTGTATGAATTTGTCAAAACTCACCAAAATAGATGCTTAAAATTGGTGAACTTTGTTATATAATTTATATTGCATTGCACTGCATTGTATTAGATTAAATCATGTCATATCATATTGGAACGCGTTGTATGATATTGTATTGTACCATGTTGTAGTATATCATACTTAATCAAAGTTGATTTTTTAAAAGATTCACATGTGGCTATGAATAAGATTTTATCCCTACTAATCTATCACTGCTGGACTTATAAGTGTTTAGGTGGGTTTATTATGCACATATTATGTAAGAAACATTAGAATTGGCTGGGACTTAGGAAATCTGAAATCTGATTTGGAATCTGTCAATGTCAAAACATGTGGTCTGAGGCAAATCTCCATGGTCTCAACTAGAAAAGGGGATCCTTAAACTAGATTGTCTTTGAGTTCCAATATTTACCTTATTATATCATATCATATTGTAAATATATAATTATATTATACTTGTCTGATTTTGTAAATAAACCTCTGCTGTGCTGAGAAGTGCCCAGACCACTCTTAGACAGCAAACCTGGCATCTTTACTATCTCTTCTGTTGCAGCCAGGCCAGCCTCCCCATCGTGTAGGAACATTCCAACACGCATTGTCAAATCCGTGTCTAAGGTCACAGTTTTCTTCCTGCCTGGATGTCTACTACTGCCGGGAGCCTGGAAGCACATCCTCCCCAATGAATCTTGACATACAGCTCCCAAATGAAATTATATTCTCACTCCTGGCTTAAATGGAGAATTTTTAATCTGTCATATTCGAACACCTCTATTTTGAATCTTTTAAATTGTTTCTTAGGACTATTTTAAGACTCAGCACATTGCCTGGCACCATCATGAAATCCTCTCATAGTAACCCTGTTTCTCCTTTCTAACCTTTTCATAAAGCCTTTCCTCAGCGGTATGCTGGAGCCAGCACACGCCAGAGCAGACTGCACAAATCTCTTTCTAGCTCCATATTCAGTAATACCATGCTAGTAAATTTAAATCTGTTGTGGAGAAATAATATTATCTCAGATATTGACGAACATTAAAATCAG